AAATCATTTTGAGTAAACACCTTCAATACTATTAAGTATATATGTATAATACAGAGATTAATTTATTTAAAATTAAAATAATAAACAATAAAAAGGCTATCAGCTACACTGGATGGTTTTTGCTTAATTTAATTTTAATCTGTTTATGTTTTACACAAAATATATTACCGTGTGATTCCAAATAATCTCAAAACATTGGCTCCATCATTATTGTCGTATGCACATTACCCACGTAATATTACAATAACATTATTTTCCCATTGCAATATTATAATGAAATCTAGCAGAAATATCGTTGAAATATAATTGACACATATATTTCAGAAATATCAATTTAATAATATGTAATATATTTACGATATTTATAAAACGTTTATATTTATGTAACATTTATTGGGAAAACTTAAATCATTTTAAAGGATTTTTTTTAATTTATTGAATTGGTATTTTTAGTGTGTGTTGTTATTTAAAAAAAATGAATCCATATGATATTATACCTAATTGTACGAGGAATGGTGTAACTTCCAGAAAAAAAAAAAATTAAAAGTTTGCCTGTCAGCCACTTCTCGTCACCTGATTTATCAGCAATTGCGGGTGATCAATTAGCGATCGAGTGAATCTATTCAATGTAAACCGGATGACAGCTAATTACGAGAATAATTATAGTCACGTTTAACGTCTGTCCGATTACGGCATCTAACATCACGCCACGAGAACGGCGATAACGCTTGTGCGTCCGTGTCGAAATTCGATGTTGTATCCGTGGTAGAGTAGATTCTGTTTTGTGTACAGCAGAGAAAAGATTAACAAGCGTTGCAAAGCGGACGAAATTATAATACTTCTGTATCATATTTTTCATCTTTACGATCAATGTATCTTTTGTATCGATAAATTTTTATCAATAATTAACTATATGTACAATACACTACTACACAGTAAAAAAGGAGGACTTTTACCAAGATCTGATCCGGGACATTTGCAATTTTCGAAAATGCGGCGCGATTTCAAGTATTCTATGCACTGAGAAAAAAAAATTTTAATTTCAAAGAAATATTTCTTTGCTCGTGCATTAAAAATAATTATTTCTTTTAAACTTAAGATATTTCTTTTTACCTTGAAAAAGTACGATTTTTTTTTTAAGTAAAAAAGTCAAAGATATTTTCAATGAATCAAAGAAATAACTTTTTTAAATAATTAAGACATTTTTTTCAGTAAATAATAAAAATTATAATCGTAGAGTGTTTCAAGTATAGCGATAATGTTTGTAAGTGATATCAAGCAACAAGTGCTAAGGAGCTGAATAAAGTTCTCGTTAACACGTAGTTCCAGAAACAGTAACAGCTTTTTATACGTAGAAACTTTTTCTTTAAAAGAAAAGCCTCGAACGATTTCGAAAAGTCGAAACATTTGAATATTAACATTCCATGCTTCGACGATTTAGACGATCCCGACACGTTTTGCCGAGAAACGTGAAAGTCTCGCAACGATTCGCGATCATGAATAATACAGTGAGATTCGAGTTCGAGTTTTACCTTTCCAGCAACCGTCATTTTGTCTGTGGATTGCGGAGCATAGATCCTTCTCACGTAACAAGAATCGCGCTCGAACGGGAGCGGCTTGCACTTTTCAATAGCCGGTCGGACGACGGCGACACATTTCCCGACAGATCACTGTACCCGCACCAATGGATCGACCGCTAGATCACGTATCACTGGGTTCCTGGAAATATCCTGCGCTACGTATATATCTTCCGATCACGTTGCGCTGAACGAAGAAGCGCAACTGCGCGTAGACGCGAGTCCACTACGAGCACGGCAAGTCACGAGACTCATCAGGTCGCTACAACGGCCAACGGGTGAATCCGGAGTATCCGGACCATCCGGTGAATGGAGTCGCGCGCGGTGAGACCATCACCGCCACTGCCATTCCAGGGGCGGATCTAGAGATTTGTCAAAGATGGAAGGTGTCGCACTCTGAACCGTATAACTGTTCGTAAATATAAGAGAATATTCAATGAATTAATGAAAATTGGTTCAATGAACTCATAATGATTTAGAGTATAAAACTACTACTAGAATTTATTGCAAAAAGAAATATGTAATTATATATATTAATGGGAATGCAGTTATTGTATTAATAATTAAATTAATTGGACATTAAGTTGGGCATTGATTAACGATTATTCGTTGGACTAAAACTTTTTTTTAGTGCATTGACGTGCTGCAAGGGAAATTTTTTTAATATGTCAAATATAAAATATAAAATATTTAAATTACTACTGCCATCATTACGTTGAAAATATATATATGTATAATCCTAGGCTTGAAACGTTTTATTTAAATTATATAAACAAAAGAATACAATAAGTATAATGTTTTAAAAGTAAAATATCTAATTTACACTTTTTCTTTGTGGCAAACCTTCTACGTTTTGGAATATAAATATGAATTTATATTTCTTAAAATTAGAAGTTTTTTTTTAAATAAACAATATTTTTGAAATATCAAAATTATGATTAACCATTTCTAAAATATTACATGTATATATATATAGTATTTTGTAATAAATATTTTTAAAAAAAGGAACCAATTAAGAGAGAGGGACCATGGCTCCCTCTTGGATCCGCCAGTGGCTATTGCTGTGCATTGCTGCGTATTAAGGAACGAGGTGGCGCTGATCGTTCTTCCTTCCCCACGCTTCTTGACCCGTAATAGAACTTCGCTCGACCATTTCTCCGGTTTCTCGTAATTGTCGCAGCAGCCACGTGATTTCCACCTGTCAGGAGCGTGCGTGGAAAGGGAGACAACACTTTCGAAATTTTATATCAATTTAACCAACACCTCGGAATTTGTCAATTTAAGAGAATGCTGGAGCGATGGCCAAACTTGATCGATGTCGATAAAATAGATTTTTAAATCATAAAATATTACATACATCAAGAAAACCATTACATATACATTATACATAAAATATTATGTATATTAAGTAAACCATTAAATAAAACGTTACGTATGAATATTAATTTCTTGCTCTGTTATATTCTATACAGGATGTCCTACACGTAACTGCAATGTGATCACGATTTTTCCGATGATCTGACAAAAATTATTTTGAATAAAAGTTAGTCAATTTTCAATTGGCTACAAATTGCAATTTAAAAAATGTTCAAAATGCTATTTTTTAGGAAAAAAAAGTCAAGGTCTAATTTTTTTTAATGGTACTACATATTTTTTACTTTATAATATTGTAAGATGTCAAAACGAGTTCAATGACCTCTGTTATACTATCAGACATGTGTGGGATTATAATGAACAGAAACGTTATCTTATTTTTTATAATTTTCTTTAGATACGTTTTTTATTCTTGAAAAAAATGTTCTTGTAATTATTCGAATTATATGATCGCGATTTCGAATTTTCTGTTACATTCGTCTGATTCTTATATCGATATTCTATAAGTGTACAGAAATAATTGAAAATTAATAAATTATTCGTTTAATTGAACTTATATTCTATACATTCTATTATATTTATATTCCATTTGGAACTTTCCATTTGTCATTTTTGATTCTCAATCATGCTCGAATGTGATAATTAATTAGAATTCAATACTTCTTGCACGATTTCTATTATATATTAATAATTTATTTCGTCATCTTCATTGCCCTTCTCCCCTCTTTCATCATCGTTTCAAAGTATCTGTCATTGCCTTTTCTGTAAATTGTGAACACCTGCATTTTATGAATATTTATATGCACAGTGTATATTATTATATATTCTCGTTATAAAAATGCTTCTTTAGGATAAAGAAACTTTTGTGACGAAAAAGAGCAAGAAAAGAGGATCAGGTCTATGACCGTTCACCGTAAAACAGGACAGGTGGAAACTCTGGCACCTGGATGGCGTGTCCGCAGTAGTTGTTTGATTTTACGAGAGATGGCGTTGCAATATGTTAGATAAGGATAGATAAATGCGTTTGAGTGAGACACAATGATATATAACACAAGAAATAAATGTAAGATGTTATCTATTATCGAATTTGAATTTTGAAGACTATTATTGAATTTTACATTAAAAAGACTGTACTATTGACTTCGATCAAGTTCGGCCGCAAAATACAAAAATTATTTATTATGTTATGGTAAAGATTAAATTGTTTATCACATATACTTGCAAAACGAGAAATAAATTATCTATGCGTAATATTTTTACAAGGTGTTCTAAAAACAGCCAGTTTATATGCAGAACATTTAATAAAATGTATTATTATTTGTATGATTGTGATACGAAATTCTACATTTTTTGTAAGACTACATTTTTGTTATCGCATTTAAATGAAATATACAAATAACAGAGCTTAATACGAGTATATAAACATAATTTCTATAAATATTTTTAAAAACAATTTATAACGATCGTTGGAAAATATCACAATATGTGAAATTTATGTATCTTTTTAACAATAAGATTTTATTAATGTCTTTCTATTATTCTAATTATAAGGAATTTTAGGCGCTATAGACATGGTGGTGACGCAGAAAGGATAAAGGAATAGATAATGCTGACGTAGTTTGCAAGAATTAGCACCGATTACATAACAAGCAGTTACATAACGAAATCATGTAATTAAGACAAGTAAATCACGTGACAAAATGTTTCAATATGTGATTATTTTAAAAATCACGTAATTTGAAAAAGTACATAGTATTAGAAACAATGCGCGAGTTTTTTTAATTCGTCGATTGATCAGTCGCAAACGTAATTTTGTTCCATAAAAGCTACATTTGCAATGAATTAAAAAACTCATCCAATTCATTCATCATGTGATTTTATAGTTACCGAATTTTAAAGAATTGAATGATAGAAATGGAAGAAAAAATAACGTATCATCGTGTAACTCCAAATTACATATTAAAAAAAAATTATATATATCTGATTTGGAACAATTGTTACGTGATTTATTTGTCTTAATTACATGATTTTGTTATATAATTTTGTGATGTGATTTTTTTCATATAAACTTATTGAAATTTTCTTTTGATTTCTGAAATTGAAATTATGGTTGGATTCTAGTTCGCGTCTCAGTATTTACATTTCGCAGCTGTAACAGATTTTTTAACTTCAATAGTCGTCAACTTTTTAATGCTTAATATCTCGGTCCTTGAGACAAAACGCTTATTTCTGTCAAATTCTTTCGTTTCCTGCATAAATGCATCGAGTAAGCTTAATTTTATGGATTTTTGAAATATTATAACTAAACTGTATAATTACATTTGACGCCAGTAAACAGCTTAATTATTATGTTTCTCATGATGGAGGAACCCAACCACCGAATGCTGTTTCAAGTTCTTTAGCCACCGCAAAGCATAGATGATCGTTGAATGGAGCTGCAACCACCTTTAAAGAAATTATAATTTTTAAGAATTTTTAATTTTTATAACTTGTACTAAATATATCAAATTTTAATTATTTATTGAGGAAGGAATCCCGAACGAGTGAGGGCTTCATTTTATATAATAATTTATATATTGTTAATTTCTTTTCCTTTATTAGTTTATATTCTTGATATATATATATATATATATATGGTCAGACAATAAAATTTAATTTAATAATTATAGTAATAAATAATTATATAGTAGGGTTTTGGTAAAATAACATCTTCTACTAGTTGAAAGAATAAATTGTGCTCTCTCTCTCTCTCTCTCTCTCTCTCTCTCTCTCTCTCTCTCTCTCTCTCACAGTAATATGTAAAAATGATTTATAATATAAACTGTACAATTTTTTAACGTTTCTATAAATATTAGATATATTTAAAAAATAATATATAAACTGTAAATATTAAAAATATATAAAAAATATGGAATTTAAATGTGCATTTGTAAAAATTCATAATATGTAAAAATTTTACCTGAATACCGACTGGCAAGCCCTGTTCATCCAAACCCAATGGCACTTGGCACGTTGGGAATCTCAAAACATTAAACAGACACCAGTATCCGAAGTTGAAGGGTCTTAAAAATGCGGAATAATGATAGCTAGCAGGAAACGGTGCCGAAGGATAAAACAATACTCCATTATCACTCAATTTCTCCTATGGAATGATTTTCACAATAAACACATAATGATAAATATAGGAATTTACATAACAATTCATCATTTTTTTTTAATTTTTCAACTATTTTTACCTGAACAGTTCTTTTGCATACCGTTGCAATTGCTCACTGTCAATCACAGTAAAAGTTTTTAATTTTTTTTAACTCCGTGATTGGCTGATGTCCAATTGAACGTATGCAATCAAGATACACTTTTTTTTTTCTATACCTGATATACAGACTATCCCATTTTTCGAAAACTAGATACGAAAAAATATTTCAAATAGAAGTTGTATGATTCGCAGGAAAACATTTTGTTTAAAACATTCTTCCGAATTTACTATAGTTTTCGACAAATTTTATTTGAAATGAGACATCCTGTATACCTAATTTCTCTTTAATAATAATTACCGCTAAAAATTGTTTCGCTTTTGCAATAACATTTTTTGCCCATTCAGCGTCCTCCCGCGGAAGAAAATCTTCGTCCATTAATTTCATAATAGCAGCCAACGTTATCTGTGAGTTTCCAGTGAGTAAATTGTAAATTTCTCCACTCGCACTAGAGACATACTACAAAATAAATATGTTTTTTTAAATTAAGAGTCGAGGTATATGATATGGTGTGTGTGTATTCTAATAAATAAAATATAAAAATAGACGGATACGCACGCAATGATAATCTTACAAGAGCTGCGTTCGGCAATGCAAATCTGAGGCGTTGGAGTGCTCTTTTTCTATAGTGCACGTGACATATGCTATAATATAAGAGAACTCCGACGCCTCAGATTTGCTATTATCGAACGCAGCTAAAGAACTTATGTAATACCCGTCCATTTTTTTGTAATTTTTACCAATAAAGAGCGATCTTTTTCTATGCAATGTGTCTTTCATTTTGACGTGTTCGTAGTGTTGCGAACGGCCTCGTGTGCAGTGAAATCGCGATTCGCCTGTCGCAAGTATAACAATATATATTACAAAGTTTTAAAATAAAATGTAATTCTCACTTTTCGATTCGTTATGTTCAGCTTGAAATTAATATCCTCGCAACTCATACAATATCTCCACAGTTTGAAACTATATTCAGAACCTGGTATTTTTATCTGTAATATACACGAAATAGTAATTTTCTACGTGTATAAATTTCAAAATATTAAAACAAATCAACTTTCATAAAAAAGAGAAAAGAGAAAAAAGAAGGAATTTTAAAACAATGAAGAGAAAAAAGTAAAAAAATATATAATGAACTTTTTACTACTTTATAGAATAAAGAATGAGATTTTACCTTTGTTGCAGAACCAGTTAGTTCTTTAAAATGTTGCACTGCTTTCATTAATGTAGCTCGCATGGTATTATTTATTTTGCTTGCTCTCAAATCACCAGAGCTTCGTTGGTAGAATACTTTTAAATTCTTTACATTGACCGACTCATCTAGCTTTAATTTAGTCACATTAGGACCGACTAGTATCTTCAAAAAGGGTGTCAGATCTTCAGCCTTTCTACAGAGCGGTCCAACTGTACACATAGTGTCTGGATATTCTTTTTCGCGCAATCCGACTCCAGCCATTGGAGTCAATCCTAAAAACATTAATAATCACATTATCATTATCATTATCATTATCATTGTCATCATTATTAAAATGAGATGAGGACGTTAACTTTATACTAATAAATGTGATTAAAATTGCATTAATAATGCAATTTTAAACATGCTGATATAAATATGAAATAAAATTTTGAACTTATCATTTTAATTTAATTACAGTAGATTCGTTTGGAGGTACTAATGCATACTAGTGTATTAAAGCCATTGTATGCTAATTCAATCGGTATAAAAATAAAATGTAAATATTTCGGATTATAAAATCAAATTGATTTAACAGCATACCAAAGAAAGAATTTTTGCATTAACCTAATAGTAAATATAATTAATAACATTGACCTTCACTAGGTTTATGGCCGAATAAACCATTAAAGAACGCAGGCATTCTTGTAGAGCCTCCTATATCACTAGTAACGGAAAATGGAGCACCACTCGCTGATACGATGGCCGCATCTCCTCCGCTACTGCCTCCGACAGTCCTAGTGGTATTATAAGGATTATTTGTCTGTCCATAAACGTTATTTCTTGATTCAGTCCACAAAAGAAGCTCAGGAATATTGGTTGTAGCAATTAGAATCCCGCCGGCTTCTTTGAAGTAACGAATTGTTGTGGCATCTTCTTCTGCTCGATGATTACGACGACTAAGTAGACCAATAGAATGAATTAAACCTGATAAATAAAATTTTCTTATTATTTTTAGATACTTATGAAACTACGGAAATTTAAAATTTAATAGAGTTTTAATTAAGACTTATAAACTGAATAATTTTTTGAAAGTACAATTTTAAACTAAAAATTCTAAATATATTTTCACATTGTTTATGTCTAGAGACACGATAGTGTTTCACGCCATGTTACCTTTAACACGATTGCTTTCCTTTGTGGTAAAAGGTACTCCCAAGAATGGCTGCGTTATTCTTATTTTCTCCAAATCCACACCTTTTTCTATCATGGTATCCACTGCTTTTGCCTCTTCAATTGCATCTGAGTATCTACATTCCACGATTGCATTTATCAAATCATTTACTTCCTTGCATCTTTCAATATAAGCTTTCACAATCTCTTCTGATGTAACCTTTTTCGTTCTAGAACACAGAATGTATAAATGTAAGCACACATTCTTTTTATTCAATATGCATTTAACTGCCATTAAATGTTTTATTAAAAAGTAAAAACAGTAAAATCATAAAAAAAGATAAATTAATAAATTTTATAAATTAATTAAATTAAGTACCATATTCTGTAATTTTTAACAAAATTATCATCAAATAATAATCATAAATAATTTTATTACTTCTAGAAATAACACAACTGTTACTTATACATTAACAATAAAATAATAATAAAATTGTCACAAATTCAACAATACAATTCCAGATGTAAAGTTTATGACAATTTTGTCATTCTTTTTTTGTTTTTATAAAAAAAGAAAAATTCTTAATTAATGACAATTACTTAATAATAAATAGCTTTAGAATAAGGATTATAGAACCTAAATATACATAAATAACATAGCAATAAATATATGCTTTAACGAGAATTTGAGTAAAGAATTAATAACTGTCCTACCTAATCTTTTCTGCTAAAGAAACAGCACTTTCTAATAATATCTTATTCTTCACTGGTGGTACCTTCTTTGCTTTCTTATCATAGTACATGCCAAAAGCAAAGTCTATGATATTATCAAAGAGAAAATGCAGGTGTACAACCATACATCGAAAAAAATTCCAGCACCACTTTTTTACAAGTGACAATATACTGTGGCATTGTGGAGAATTCTATACATATATAAAGCATAGTATATTAACATTAAATTCTATTTTTTTAATATTTATATAACATTGAAATATATAAAGTTGTTTGGTAATTATTTAGAATATCCTTTCTCCCTAAAATCTTAATAAAAACATATTCATTTGACACGTATATTTACTCAAAATGAAAGAATCTCTGGAAAAAAAAATACGGCGGTCAGCCTTATAAATCAAATTATTAAGAGTTAAAGTTCAAGACTAGAGGTTAAATATCAGCTGTTATCCCAATTCTATACATCTATTTATACATTCTGCTTCCTAGATATACAAAATATTCTTAGGATACTTGATTATTGCTTTCGAGTGAGAAATGAGTGGAAGTAGGGACATCTTGAGTATACCTTTTCAGAATATTCTTAAAATATTCTCAGAATATCATGTGCTATCTAAGTTTAATTATACAAATTATCTGCTTTAAAAATACAAATTTACTGTTTGAAAATAATTCACTGCTTTAAACACACAAAAATTTTCTGCAGGGAATTTGTGTAATTCAAACAGCGAATTTGCGTAATTAAAACAGTAAATTTATGTTTGTAGCAGAAACTTTGCATAATTAGAACAAATACGATTAAATGATAGATATCTTAACCTCCAAAACCTTAAACTTCATCATTTAATGACTCGAAGCTGTCCACCGTGTTTTTCTGCCAGACATTCTTTTGTTTTGAGTGGATACACATCGATGAGTACATTTTCATTAATCTTTTAGGGGGAAAAGGTATTCTAAATAATTACCTTTTATGTGTGTGAACTTACCTTATTTATGGAAGTGCACATAGTTTTGCGAAATCAGTGAAAAATATTAACAAAATCTATTTAAAATCATAAAATTGATCGAACACGTTAAAATCTCAAAATACATATAACACTTTCAAAATATATATACAGCTTATAATACAGATTTTTTAAAAATATCCATGTATATAATGTTCCTTTCAGAGAATCAAATTTCTTTAGAACCTTTTTAGAATAAGAAAACCTTTTTTTAGAATGAGAAAACCTTATTTTCTTTTCAAGTAAGAAAACTTGCCCTGAACAACACGCACATCGTCAAAATTACTGCGATTTATTCAAACTTGTTTAATCATTAAAAATCATCAAGAATTGCTGAGTAAGGACTGGTAGTAAGGTGTAAAGGTACAATTTCATGTACTGCTAAGCTAAAATAATGCTGAATTCACACTGGATCCAGTGACTGGACGCAGCAAGCGTCAAACAGCGGAGCAGCGACCAATCAGCGTGGCCGATATTTTTTATGTCACTGTAAATATGACCACGTTGATATGGATTAAAATCTTGCCACCGTATTGGCTGCGGTGTTGATTGACAGTATCGGAGCCAATTGGAGCCAATCCAATGGTAAGAATCTGATCCAGCTAGCAATCCAGCAGGAAAACAAGCATCGTGTGCCGCTGGCTTTAATCGTTTTTAGAATTCCTTAATTCGCAAATAACTCAAGGATAATATAAAAAACTACGAGCTGAAAAATTTTCTTTAGACCAACAGTCTAAAGAAAATTTTTCATCTTTTTCAGCTCGTAGTTTTTTATATTATCAAACTTACAAAAGAGCTCAGAGAATATAGTAACCTTTCAAAAGTAGAAATTTCAAGCTTTAAACCCCCTCTTTAAATTTAAATTTCGTTTAGTTTTTATGAAGATGTATATGTATACAATTTTAAGCTAGCAAATTGAAATAAATTTTCTGAACAATCTAATATTATATATTACCTTATTATTATATTATTTCTTTATAAAATTTGCACGAATATTATTAAGCACTAAGACTCGCTTCGACCGTAAAAAGCTTTTCTCATTTTTACTGTGCTTGAAATATTTTACAAGTTGGAGAGGGAGAGAAAGAGCGAGAGAGAGAGAGAGAGAGAGAGAGAGAGAGAGAGAGAGAGAGAGAGAGAGAGA